GACTAGCATTTTAAACAAATAACATGTCACAGAGGTACTATTACAGGCAGCTAATTCAGGTAGAAACTAATAGGCAGTCAAACAGGGACAGGCGCTCAAGGAAGTCAGTGCACAAGATGAGAACACATCACAACTGTGGCTGGAGCCACATCTGAAGAAGGCAAAGCCTTGAGATTAAAGTCATAATTGCCAGACTTGCATACTTCTCTAAGGGGTGAATGGAAATTTGAGATTACTCTGTAATTGGTACCACCCACTCCATTAAATTCAGATATGCATCAGGCACCTGGATGGGTGACTAGAATACCTGGACCTATCCCTTCCCCATAATGTTCCTGTTTTAGGGGTCATAGATAAGCCAAGGTTAAGGATGTAGGCCAAATACCACTGCTACATGCCCTGCTTCTCTACCGGATCAATATTAGCTAAGCAGCTATACTTTAAACTTATTGATTGATTACAGTTTGACCCACAGTGTACCCACATTGTAACTTTGCTGTATAAATTACCTCCCACAAAGAGCTTTGGTGGTAACTCCTCCTGACTCTCAGGAGTTATTCCTATTCCCCAATAAACCTTCCTTACTCTTAACCTCCTTTGTTTTTTGGAATTCATTCTTCAATTTCAGGGGAAACAAACTCTGGACATCTGACATTTAGTATGTTGGGAGTTATATTTCTCCTATATCAGTACAATAACGATGTCATAATAATATGGTCTTCATCTATCTAATTATTTTTCCTTAGTGCATTTAAATTTTTAACACTAAAATCTCAATGTTTCATTTCTTTTCCATCTGAGACTATAGTGTTTGAGAGTTGGTTTGAGCTGCCTCAGTTACTCACAGTCAAAGAATCACATGGATTTGAATTGATCAGAGGTCTAATGCACTGATCAATAAACTGAATTATAGAAGGATAGATGAAAATATTGGCTCAACTCTGTCTTGGTAATTGCAAGTAGCCATAAAACACGTAAATTTAAAAGGGTGGCTATGATTTAAAAAAGCATCCTATTCATAGGCTCTAACATTTGAATGTCATATGATTTCATGTGTCAGGAAATACTATTCTTCTCATTTTTTTTCAATTTCTTAAAAATATGAAACCATTTGTAATTCATGTGCCATATAAACAATGGTGGTAGACTAGGTTTCACTCAAAGGAAGTAGCTTTTAAGCCAAAACCCTGTTCAATTTCAAGTGCTGTTGTGAATATGTTCATAAAAAATACTGGAGGGTTTTTGGGTTTTTTGCATAGAAACAGGTAAGAAAAACAATAATTTTAGAATATGTAACTCTGAGAGTTATGTTTTTGCTTCTCTTCTGCCTTACGTATACTTATTGCCTTTTTTTTAAGGGTAGGAGGAATTTATTGAGAGAAAGATAGCTTCTGTTGAAGAGGGACAGAAGGCTCAGAAAGTGGTTGCCTCTCTTATTGCCTTTCTTATTTAGGTTGAGTTTTACTCTTAGAAAAGGTAAAGGTATATAATAGCACATGGAAGATAGCTCATATTTCAATTTTCTCTCCAGAAGCTATTTTTTCCAAAAGGGGGGCAAATCCTCTTTGATATTTATCATTTTGCTTTTAATTGGCCTTCAGATTTAGACATTTCTCAGGCAGGCACTATTCTAACTGGCCATATGGGACCAAAACTGATCAATGTGACATAGGAGTTAACCATTTTCTTTGGGGAAAATAAAAACTTTTCCAAAACTGTGTTTAATTCTTGTGTACCATGTAAGTTTACTAAACTCTGCTTGTGCTGTGAAGTCCACTAATATAAACAATTTAGGTGGGTTGATTTATTAACTTGTTCTCCTAAATATTTAGAAGATCATAGAGAACATTTTCCTCAACTTCACTTTCTGATGTCAATCCCCTGAATTTTCTCAAGTGTTTTGGATGTTTTTAAACACCTAAAACTTTTTAAATTGTCTCATGTATTTGCTGAACTGAGTTTCCTTTCTATAATCTTTACTATCTGTGTTAAATTTCAAGCTTTATGGATAGCCTGCTTCACAAGAAAGGACTGAGACACAAATGGGCTTTTAAATACTTCCACAATAGCCAACTGGAATTTACTTTGATATAGGTCATAGAAACTATCAGCCTTTACTTTCTGTAATCTTTCTCAATTAGATCAATTAATTTTTATTTAGCAATGACTATTATCATTAACACTACACCACATTCAAAATCTACAACTTCTTCAATTCATCTGTGGCCAAATTTCTGACAGTTTTTGTCCTAAGAAAATGTAAAGGGATGTTCCTTTGTGGAGTTGTTCCTAGCAAAATTACTTTGGTTTCCTTCCTGGTCTTTGCACTTTGAAGAGTTTTTTCTCCTCCTTAATCCTTTTGGAAGTTTTACTTCTGGGAGCCTCCCTTTTGCTCAGCGTTCTAAAGAGAAGCCCCAGCTAAATGGTTAAAATGCTAACTGCGAAATAATCATTCTTTAGATTTAGTGGACCAGAATATCCAGTGAACTTTAAAATGTTCCTCTATGGTCTTTAGTTCTGTCCATCAACTAACACAAACATGTAAGTTGCTGTGAAGTTTAATTTTCAGAAAAGTAATAAATCCATTAAAAAAAAAAACCACAGGCACTAGCCCCAAGGAGGCTGAAGCCTGTTATGATGTTACAGAGAATAAAAATGAAGATACCCTGCCTGGGTATCTTCAAACACCTCACTCAACACAAATCTTCCCTTTCTGCTCTTCTATTCCCTCATCAAAGCCCTTTGGACCCTTGAGTTCCCCAGATTGAATGTCTCAGGATGACAGCATCTCCAAGAACTTCGTCAGGGCCTACTCTTCAGTGAACTTGATTCTTCCCTACCAGCTCTGGTCTCCTAAATATTGGCCTTGAGTAGCAAGCAATAAAGACCTTATTTAGATAATGAGACAAGGAAGTGAGATACCGCTATTACTTCTTAGGAGTTGGTACACATTTTAAGACACAAAGCCTCTTTACTTTCTTATTTCCTTTTGTAAGTTCCTTTTCTCTTTTACTTCTTCTCCATTCCTAAACTTAATCTAAAAAACTACAAATATATTGCTGACTTTTCAATACCCCATTCTGGATGGTTTTCTAAAAACTCTTCTAGAGGAAAATCAAGTTTTCATTTACTTACCTAAACATAGCCAGCCAAGGATTTATTTAAAAGAGCTTCACTATTTAAGTATTTTAATTAATGTTAGTTTTAACACAAATATTTAAAAATATGTATATTGAAAAATAAAATAGAGCAAGTCTCCTGGTGTACTTGGGGGCTTTGATTCCAGAAGCATGTAAGTTATCACTTCACGTCCAAATTATGTAGAGGTCATAACTAAGACACCCATTAAGATTTTAAACTATGAAAACCTATTTTCTGTCATATTTTTGCTTCATTTATTAATGTAAAGCTTATCTAAATTAGAGATTACAACAAAGTTGTGAAAGTGTAAATTATATAAGATTATGAGATGATTATCATATTTATTAACAATTTTTAAAATGTGAATAATCACATCTTATGATTAATACTTAGTACTTGTTAATATTTTATTAAAGTAGTTATTAACTCCAGTGACAGGAACACTTAAGAGTTTTTTTTACCTCAAATGAAATCTTTTTTAGTTAGCTTCAATGAGTGAAGTAGATAAGAATGTTGAATTCTCAGGAATAACAATTACTAAAAATTATCATAAATTGAATAATTCAGTGATACCTTGATTAACAAATCATCTGGTAACAATGGAATTCTCTTAAAGTCATTCAGAATAAAAATGAGTTTTAAAACTTTTCCTGATCAGTTGTTTGGCTGATAACAATGTGACACTCACTCCCTGGCATTCTCTCAGGTGGAGGTCTTGTAGTAGTAGATTTTGATCTACTGTATTGTGTTTTATTATTTTTTCCCTCTGGAAATTGTACTTCATAAAATGATATAAAAGATTGATACAACATCTTTTTTACAGTCCATTATTATAAGAAAAATTCCTATATACATATTAATTTGCATTCTATGTGAGTAATGCCTAGGACTGTTATGCAAGACAAGCTCCATTTGCTAACCTGAGTTCAAGTGTATTATATTCAGAAAAAGCAGATAATGATTATGCCACATGAGGTACTTTTACTCAGCTTAAAATCTGGTAACTTATTCTTAATGATCTTTTTTGTTAGTTCTTATTACTCACTGAATCTGACAATAGCAGTTAAAAACATTTAAATTTAATGAACATTTTATAAACATAAAATGAAATGAACATTATATATAAGTGTGTGTAGTAGATAAAACATACAACATTAAATGTATACATATGAGAGAAAAAGACAGGCAGAGGGAAAGGAGCGAAATCCATATATATATATATATATATATATATATATATAGTCATATATGACATTTGTGTAACAATAATATTACTTTCCATTTACAATATATTTCTAAATTTACAAAAACTCAATCTTATTACTTACATAGGTTTTATATCCACATTGTAGTATCCTTTTTTTTTTGGTACCAGAGATCAAACTCAGGACCTTGCGCTTGAGAGGCAGGCGGTGGAACCACTGAGCCAAATCCCAGGCCCTGTAGTATCCATTTTTCATTGCTGTATACAATCAGAAAGGCTTCAGGTATATGCCCAAGGTGACACAACTCATGAACAGCTGAATTTAACCATTATGATTATCTGATTTTTCACACCTAAATGCTTATAACACCACACATACAGAAACATACATATACACCATATATGCACACAACATTACATGTAATAACACAGGCAAATTTAGTTATATCGTTTAAGGTTCTATGTTGTTTCTCTTGAGAGAACTTTAAATAACCCCTGCCTTCCTAAATATTATACCCCTGGGGCTACATACTGCAGGTGATTTTTCTCATAATCTATTTACCATCTCTTACATTTTAGAATTAAAGTTTAGTTATAGAATAAGAAAAAGAGGTTAAGGTGAACATTTCAAAATCACATTGTGAGAAACAATTACCTTAATAACAGAGGTCTCAACTCTGGATGGAGGAGTCTGAACTTGTGCTGCCGCTGCCATATTTGCAATGGTGCTGAGGTGGTTCATCTGGCTCATTGCCATGGTGACAGATGCTGGAGGTAGGCTGACAGGAATTAGAGGGTGGGGCATCATCATAAAAGGAAGTTCCAGTCCTATAAAAAATACACAAAGAGCATCATTACTGTGTTCCAAGTGAAACCACAAAATACGGTATATTTCACTGATTAAAATTATTATGGACATAAATCATTAAATTTTAAGTGATAAAAATATTTTAATAATGACAGTCAAAGAAAATATTATTCTTCTTTGTATGCAATAACCCCCATTCACCAGTTAGGGAAATTAAACCTATAGCTAACCAGCTTGGTGCCATGGTTTATCATACCCCCACTCTGCATGTTTTTAAACCACAAGATCAATTCTTTGCTATATCATTTCTCAGATTAGTCTAAATTCTTGTTTAAAATACGAGAGCTTTATTTAACTTATCATGATTAGTTGTCTCAATGTAGTACATCCATTTATCAGGTTCTATTTTACTGTCTGACAATAAAAAAGTAAGTTTTGAAAACTGCCATTTTTAGTGCTAAAAAAATGCCATCGTACCATTTGGCAGCAGGTGGCTGTGCCGAAGATGGTTGAGAGGATGACTAACTGGAAGGCTATGCGCTCCAGGCATGCGGGGGTGGGAAACAGTAGCCTGAGATCCCTGAGATGGGGAAGAGTGCAGTGTTTCCTTATCCCAAGAACCATCACTGCTGCCTGTGGGAATGAATATAAATTACTCGGATACAGTATTATCCCAAATCTTCCCATGACTAACTTGAAATGAGGTTTAAAAAATATATATCACATTTGGATATTGACAAACAGATTTCTAAGGAAATGACCTGAAGGAAGTAAATTTCCCCTAAACTGCATTTTCTTTTTGTTTATTTCTCAGATAAGATCACAAGTCTTTGAAAAAGAATATTTCTGTAACATTTAACGTACTTGCGGAGTCCAATCCTGTTTGACTCCCAAGCTTAATGTTAAATGGGCTCTGTTATATAATTACATAATGAGTTCTTGGAACTGAAGTACACTGATGGTTATAAAATGCAAAGTTATCCTGGTAGTCAATGGTATGCCAGTTACCACTTAAAGTGTTTAACTTAATTCGACCACAAATGCTAAAAATGGAATCTTTAAATGCCCAATTTTGTCAGATACTGTACAGAGAACACAAAAGATCACTTTATGAAAGATAATGTCATAGCAAAATATTTAATGTGTGTAAATAAACATTCATTTTCAAATAAAAAGAAACTAATGTATTATTATCACATATCACTGACAAAGTCAAAACTATACCTTTGTGGGCTTGTATTTTTTAATATTGGTGGCAATGTCTTGGATTTAGCTAGATCCTGAAACACTTTGGTATGACACCCCTTGGAAAATGTTTATAGACCATTTCAATTTAAACATGTCTTCAAATTAAATCAACATTAATTTATTCTGTAACTGAATCTGTTGAATATAAAAACCATCCGATTTAAAAATTCTATAATATATCTGTTAACTTATAGTTTCTTTTATTCTAAGTAGAAGAGAAAAAGAAGAAAGTGGAGGAGGAAGAGCAAAAGAGGAGGAGGAGGAAGAGAAAGAAGAAACCACATTTTTACAGAATATGCATGGAAACAGCAAAATTGGTAAAACTCCAATTTAATGCTTTAGCTCCACTAAAAGCCTCATTGTATCTCTGTGACATAGTTTTTAATGAAGAATACTTAGGTACTGCCATGATTTCTTTCCATTTACTTCATGAAGACATTTAAGGTTCAATATAAATTCAAACTCATTAGCCCAATACTGTCTGGATCTTAGAGTAAATTGTTCAAAAGTGGGTAATGAAAACTCAATTCAAATCCTTCAGCAATCAAACAAAGCAATTTTATTAAACAATGAAAAAAATCAATTAAAGTGGATATCTTTATTATCTTTATTATTTTATAAGAAACCATGACAGCTTTTGGCTTAAAAAAAGTTTATGGCTTCATACAGAAATGACTCACATAAAAGAAATTTCTCTAATCTGCTCCTATACTGTGATAATAATTCACCAATTTATAAACCTAATTTTTCTACTCATAATTTTTTGGACAATATTACCAGCCATATATGCAAAAACTATACATATGTACATTTTTCAGATGTATATGTCTAAAGAATATTATGGTAAATGATTTTAGACATCACTTTGCAATGCCTTTATTAAAGTATGTGCAAACATTTGTCACATATTTCATCCATAAAATGTGTGGAATTTGATATATAAATTTAAGATATGAAACATGGTGTGAAACTCTAATTAAATAACTCTGAAAACAGATGACAGATAAAATACTATTTATTTAATTTCTCTTTTGCTTTACAAGATGTCTGTCCTTTTTGTATAGGTAAATATCAATCATCCACATGTGAATTTCCACAGCAAGTTTCTAATACTAGATTGGATTGCTCACTGCATAAAAAGCTCCTAGACATCTCCACCAATCATCATTTTTTAAATACTCATGAGTGAACTCATTTGGGTAATAAATAGAGCAAACAATTAAGAAACTAAGTCTGATGAAAAATATACAATATATAACCAAGTCAACTGTAAGTGAATTTTGCATTATTTATAATATCCTTCTCCTCTATTAGCATGAATATACAAGAAATGAAAATAAGCCATTGAGAAACAGACATCCCCATACAACATTGTTAAATGTGTAATTTCAAGCACTTGGAGATATATAGAAATGTAAATGTATATCTATATATATAATGAATATATATATGTATATATATGTCTTCATATATTTTTTCAAATATTTTTGTCACATTTTCCTTTTCTGTCCCTTCATGCTGTTGTATTTTGAATACTACAAATCCAGTATAGTTAACATTCATCGCTGCTTCCCCATGCCATTAGTATAATATAACCTCCTAAGTGCACAAGTCCTTGACAGTGGAAATCTCTAGTTTAAGCTCTACTAAGCTCTCTAAGCTCCTACTACTTCTCTATACTTTTCCTTCTTTTGGACTATTGTATGTAGATTCTCTTGATCTAAGGATATGTTCTTTCTCCACTCTGCTACTTCTCCCCAATTCTGTGGGCCACTTCCCAAATATGTACAGATAAAAGATCAGTAGTTCACACCAAAGTAGAAATCCAGGGATGAAATATGCAGAGGCACCTGCAATCCTTGAGTAAATCTCTTAGAACTCTATCTTCTTTACCTTCAACAATAAGGAATTACACTCAAAAAAATTACCTACTCATTGAACTCTATCTCATCACTAAAATGATTTCAGCAAATCTCCTCTCCCTGTGGGAGCCCCCTCTGATGAAAAGAGGAAGACTCTCAGATGTTCATGTTCCTGGATTATGGAGTGATATTTTAAGATAAAAATACTGCCTCAGCTGCTGTTAATAAGGACCAACTGCTTTTGACTTTCTTTAAAATAAGGAGTATCTGGCACTTTTGCTCTTGTCAGGGAACAAAGGAGAGATTCTATTTACTGTTCTGTTACATAATCATATTTGATACAACCTACAAGAAAGATGACCACACTATAAATCACACTTTAGTAATTAGTTCTTAAAAATAAACTAAAATAAATGGAAAATATGAATGTTCAACATTTGAAATGTTACTTCACAAATTAACTGCAACTTTAAATGATTGAGACAAAAGTTCAAAGAAAAATTTCTATGAATAAAAGAATTAGCACCAATAAATGTTTTGCTATAAAAAATAAATAAAAATAAAATCCAAAAAGGAATGATTGAATGTGGAGATACTAATTATCATAAGACGAAAGATGATTACTTAAATGTGTGCAATAATTTCTGGTAGTAAAGGAAATAAAAAATGTTTCAGAGAAGAATGTTGTTAGCTTCACCTCAATATAAAATGAAAAAAAAATGAATTTTATGTATGTGAATGGCAGCAATTCTAATCCTAGCCAAAATAATTACATCTACTATTTAATTCATTCTTCTCATTCCTATCTAAACACAATGAGGCATAGATTCTGAAAGATACAGACACACTATCTTTTTAATGAATTTTAGATTGAATGTAAAATAATCACATACAAAATTAGAATGACCTGCAAAAAATTCCTTTTAAGTCATCATGTGTTAAGATAGTAAAAGTTTACTTAATATTATAATACTTTGTACATAGGTGACATGTCACTAGTTGTGATTTTCCCACAGGCTGACCCTGATAAAGAAGGCAAATCTCAAAGGGACTAACGGTCACACCACTATTTAGTGAGTGACACTGATAGATTGTGACAGGAACCTGACATTGTCAAGATTCTCTTACAATGAAAACGATGGCAAGAGCAGACACTTACTCCATACCATTGGAGACCACTTAGAAGGATGTCAACCCCATCCTAACAATAAAAACATGACTACTAAGTAAAAGCAAATACTAGTCACAGGTGCTACAGATACCCAGTTGTTAATACAGAGGTAGGTGAAAATAAATAAATTATCTTTTAGTGGATTAGTTTCAATTAATAAAAGTGAGACATAAAATGTCATCAGTAACGATAATATTTTACATAAGAGACAGGCCTTTCACAAATTATAAAAGATAGCTTTTACTTTGTTTTGTTGGCTAATGACCTGAGCATAACTGAGCTGCTTTCATATATTTTGTTGAAATCTGTAGAGTTTTAGTTTGATGTTGTCAAATTGCTTTATATTCAATGTGAACAGAAGAAATGTTTTTAATTTTTAAATTTATTTTAACTCATATAAGTGTATTATATGTTAGGGGTACATTTTTCTTCTTTGCCTTTTTTTTCCTTCGGTGTTTAGGATATAATCTACGGCTTTGCCCATGTTAAGTGCAAGCTTTGCCACTACACCACAGCTAAATGGGAACATTTTTAATTATGCCACCACTAATTAATTAATTACAGTATTTTAGTAAAGAAAACACTACAGCTGCCTCTTAATTGGTATTGTAAAATATTGCTCACTGAGTAGGTAGGCCATTTCCAAAATCTAAAATTTATATTTGTACACATACCATTTTTGATTTGGTAGTATTGGGGGGAAAACATAACAACTTGACTGTCATATAACCAGAATTACTTGGCTTAACTTCTGACAGATTTCTTTGTTTTTGTTTTATTTTTTTAAGAAAGAATAGTACTGTGAATTCTAATTACCCCTTTACCAATAAATATATCATTTAGGGAAATATGTTACTTTCCAGAAATAATTGGATATATTTTCTTTGGCAATCTTTCATTAATTAAACCTTACTATGTTATCTGAGCATTAGATATTTGTTAATTAAGAATGTGAAATCTTTCTATACAATGGTACTTCTATTTTACTGACGATATTTTCTTTTGAATGCAGAGCTGTTTTATTTTTCATACAATGGTGATGAGTACTATTAGTGTTCTTGTACTCATCAGAATGCTGCTAATCCTAATTTCTTCACCTACTTAAGATATTTCTATTGCCCTACGTATTCCCTAATGTTGTTGAAAGCAGCAATAAGTTAACACGCTACCCAAAGTGACACATGAAATAATGGAAACTAGAACTGCTTATTTAAAAAAATTTTTAATATTCTTCATTATAGCTAATGATCATTGAACTAAAAAGAAAAGAAACAAAATTGTAAAATCAGGCTGACATTCAAGTTACTTATTCCAGACAAAATATATTAAACTGGTACATAATGAATAGGCAG